TATGAAAACAAGCTAAGTGTCTATCGATGGATGAATGAATATGTGGTATATATACAATGGAATATTAGTCATAAAAAAGGAAAAATTGCCATTTGTGACAACATAGAAAGATCTCGGTATTATGCTAAGTGAAATAAGTCAAATGGAAAAGTACAAAAACTGTATGATTTCACTTATATGTGAAATATAAAACAAAAAAGCAACATGAACTAACATAACAAAAATAAACTTATAGATACAGAAAACAGAAAGGGGATTACCAGAGGCAAGGGATGAGGGCGGGGGGAGGGCAAAGAATATATGGTAACGGATGGAAACTAGACTTTAGGGGTGAGCATGCAATAGAGTATAGAGCAGCCGTGGGCAAACTATGGCCCGCGGGTCGGATCCGGCCCGTTTGAAATGAGTAAAACTATTGAAAAAAAAAGACCGTACCCTTTTATGTAATGATGTTTACTTTGAATTTATATTAGTTCACACAAACACTCCATCCATGCTTTTGTTCCGGCCCTCCGGTCCAGTTTAAGAACCCATTGTGGCCCTCTAGTCAAAAAGTTTGCCCACCCCTGGTATAGACCCTGAATAATAATGGTGTATACTTGAAATTTATATAATGTTTTTAACCAATGCCACCTCAGTAAAAAAATAATTTTAAGAATCCTCAATTAATGACAGGAGAAAAAAAAACAGTGGGGAGAACTAGCAGGTAATTATTAAGAGGAGAGATATAAGGATATCGAAAACAATAGCCTAAAGTAAGAGAGAGAGAGAGAGAGAGAGAGAGAGAGAGAGAGAGAGAGAGAGAGAATTTATATAGAGCAAACATGAAATTTTAAAATAAGTAAATATCAGGGATCATTAACACTTAGTGGGATAAAATTAATAAATAAGAACTGGCATTTGAAAGGCATGTCTTACAATGTTTTACAACAGGAGAAAGATGCCAATAAATCAATACATATCCAAATATATGGAAATTCTTGAGCATGGAATAAAGGAAACCCTAAGTGAAGCTAAAAATGGCAATAGCTGTATTATCAGAAGGAGCATTCTTTTCGGTCACTTGACCAGATGCAGCACTTAAAGTTTTCTGAAACATGTTGCAAACAAGCATAAGGACGAAATACAGATATGATGTAATGACAGCTTAATTTTGCCCAAATCAGAGCATCTGATGAATTCTTACATGCTGAAAATTTTCTCCTTTAACAGATAAAGCGAGCATTGAGGCGAACGAATTTAACTATTTCATACTTATATTTGAACAAAGAGACAGAAGTGAATGATGATGCAGAAGTGACAGGAACGGTGGTAGTGACCATGTCCAGGAAAAACAATCAAGGACGTTGTCAAACATGTAGCCTACACCTGTAATTGGACATTTCGACAGTCACTCATGGTATACTTAGGAAACAGGAGACATGGTAGATTTATAGATGGCTTAAGCAGAACAATGATTGGCAGATTCATGTTAACCGTGAGGAAGTCCACTACTTGGATCTATTTTTGCTTTGGTCCTACAAAACATTTTAGATCAATAGTTTGAAGAAATGGGAGCACTTCTATACATTTCCAGGTGACACAAAGCTAGAAAGGAGAGTTAATTTGCAGGATAAAACATTCCATTCAGTAAATATTGATGGAGCATCTTTATTGGCAAGGTGTTAAAGTGAATACAAAGATCAAGACACAGCTCTTCCTCTCATGATTTCCTTTTTCAATAGGAGAGACAACATATGTGTAAGTAATCATTGAAGTAGGTAAGAATAATTTTCACAAAAAAATGTAGATATCGTGGTTAGACTGGTCAATGTTGGGAGATACTGCCTAAGTTTTACGTGTTTGTGGGTTAGGAATCTGGGAGGATTTAGTGGACGTGTTCACAGGAATGTGTTAGATGAGTAGAATCTGGGCATGCAGTAATTAAGAGAAGGAGAATTTAGATTCAGAGGTGGAAAAGCATGGAGTATATATTGGGAAGGATTTGTGGTTTGGTATGAAGAATGGAATTCAGGACAGGGAGCGGTAGGAAACAAAAGTTGGGAAATAAGATTCTGGGATCCAGGCTGGCACAATAAACTGAAAACAATAAAATGAAATTTAACTTGGATGAACTTGCAGTTTAAAGATGGCAGTGTAAAGATGTTCGCCCTTTCCTCTTGAAAATTACCCCCAAACAGTGAGGCTCAAACTCCACTTTTAATGACTCAGAGGTATATATGAACCACAATAACATGGAAATTGAAAGCAGGAAAGCAGGTAAAAGAATGATTGATGACTCTGCACAGATAGGCCAAGTTCACTTCCAGAACCCTGGAAATGTTGAGGAATCAGAAATACCCGTACCAAAGGCAGAGAGGAGGCAAAGGACTGAAATCAAAAAAATTGGGCTAAAAACAGGAAAAGTCCGAGGCAGGAGAAACTAAACCCCTGCGATAATCAGTGACATGAAGCAAAAGAAATGGGCTGAAGCTAAAGTACTATTGAACTTAAAAAAATAAAATAATCATTTATTCTTTCTTAAATGTTTCTAAATAAAACTTATTTTAATGATGTTATTATATAGGTTGGAATATTTTTAAATAGTTCTTAATGAGAAGGGCTTTTTTTTTTGTGTGGAAATACATATGCTCTGGCGTGAAGTCCCAAACTCAGAGATTTTAATTAAGTAGGGTAGGAACCAGGAATGTGTATTTTGACAGAGCTTGTCAATCTAAAAATCACTGACAGTGTAAAAAAGAAATCTATCTCCAAAACCCATCCAAAGGTAAATGGCCTAGAGAAGAACAGGCCATTTGTTGGTAGGCACTATGTGTTAGGTATTGTTCTAGGAACTGGGAATAGTGCAGTACCTCAAGTAATCCTCTACCCTCATGGAGTTTGTATTTTCGTACAGGGGGATACACAAACACAGTATATAGATAGGATATGTAGTATTTAAAATAATATCAGAAGTTTATATGAAGAAACATACAGCAGGTAAGGGGTAAAAGGAATGGGGCCAGAGAGAAGGTACTACATGGGTAAAGATTTGAAGGAAGTGAAGGTGTACATCATGATGATGTCTGGGGAAAAAACGTTTGAGGCAGAGAGAACAGCAGATGTAAAGGCCTCGAGGGACATTAAGGAAGCCTGTAGAGCTGGAGCAGAGTAAGCCAAGGTAAGGGATCAAAAAGGTAAAGGGAGAGCTAAATTGTACAGTATCTTGTGGGCCTCTGAAGGACTTTGGCGTTTACATCTAGTGAGATAGGAAGGCATATGAATAAAAAAATGAATACTAAAGGAGCCATTTAAAAATATATATGTGTATACACACATATATTATATATATAACTCTGAAAAGTAATGGAACTGGCCTAAATAATTAATAACAAAAATAATTTCAAGTGGTATCTAGAAACCTTAGCTGGCTAAATTAAATCTAGACAATACCTAGTATAGTACCTTAAAGTAAGTGTTTAATAAACACTTGTGGAATAAATGGACAGCGTTTTATACAGAAAAAGAAAATAAGTATTTTTAAAGTTCTTGTAAAATCAGAGGTAATGCATCAAGAATATAAGTTATGTCTGGCGGCATGGCTCAGTGGTTGAGTGTTGACCTATGAACCAGGAGATCACTGTTTGATTCTGGTCAGGGCAAATGCCCAGGTTGCGGGCTTGCTCCCCGGTATGGGCCGTGTAGGAGGCAGCTGATCAATGATTCTCTCTCATCATTGATGTTTCTATCTCTCTCCCTCTTCCTTCCTCTCTGAAATCAATGAAGATATATTTAAAAAAAAAAAGAATACAAGTTATTCTAAGATATAGTCGTTTATCAAAGATGTCTGGGCCTTCTTATAGAAACCATCCAGTAGATTTTCCAATTTCATACTTTATATGTTAGGCAAGAAGAGTCACTCTGAAACCTTTCTTTCCTCTTTTGTTTGAGAGTCAAACACAGTTTTTAACAGTCCACATTTTAGACTTAGCTTAAGCTTTCCTGGATTCTAGCTTTAAAAACCTAATTTATCATGGTTCAGATCAAAACAGCTCTGCTTTATTCTTTTAATAAAAGGACTTCATATAGTTTCATCCCAAAGTCTGGTTCAGTTTTTCCTACAGACTGGATAGAGCCCAGGGTATTGACTACGGAGAATTCTTAAAGTGACAAACCCACTGCTCTGACAGCCAGGAAAAGCGAAGGTACTTTCTCCTCCCCACTGTGACCACTGCAGCTTCCAAATGAACCCATCCACTCTTTCTGGTTGCCAGATACTATTTGTTTTAAATTATTTTGGTGATAAAAAATGCATGGACAGCAAAAATAAATTTGTTCTTCTTTAGTATTAGTTCTTCCTTTGCCTGATAATGGAATGGTACAAAAACATACTCTTTTAATTGACCGAAAAGTGATTGGCAGCTAGCTCCTTCAACTATAATAGGACTTCCTACAGGAATGAAAGGAAATTGGCTTTTGGTGTTATAGACAGCTGCAGATATTTCTGATATCATACCATGGAGTGATTTCCTAGGAAAAAAAATATAAACTCTAAAATCATATAACAAATTAAAAGCATTACCTTACATGGCCAAGAGATGTATGCTCTTTTCTATGAACCAAACCACTGACAGATAAAATTCAGAATAAAAATATACAAAAAAATTGTTTGGGCTAGCATATGGGAACTAAGCTAAAGCCGTATGAATAGTCCGCTTTCATTCCTCTATCAATACATCCAAGATTTGCAATAACCTTATGTAAAGCAAAAATATATATATATAAATCTATATTAAACTGTTAGTCTGAAGTGTGAGATCAATTTTAATTAGAAAGAGTTGACTTCTGGTTACTTTTTTTTCAGTGCATTAATTGAATATCAGAAAGAAATAAGTAAGAGAGTAGAAAACTTGGGTCACTCAGTTTAGCAGTTGTTCAGGTTGAAAAATAACATGAAACCTCCAGGGTTAAGAATTTCAAATGAGGCTGCTAGACAGAGAAGACAGACCAAATCAGCTTACCACTTGAACCATTTTGAGATATCTGGCATATCTTGGATCCTTGGCTACAGTTAAGATATTTTCTGCTGTTACTTCACTTTCCTGTGGTCCAGTTTCTTGTAAACTGTTCTGCTGTAGAGAGTATTGCGTGTAAATCTTTAGACAGTTCACAAAAGGGGTCCATCATGTTACTTAAAAGGGATGTTTCTTTTTATAATTCTAAAGCAATTAATATCAGAAAAATCATATTTATAAATTTAAATAGCAATAATTTAATTATAAGATGTATGTTTCCAAATATTTATAAACATTGAAATGACTTCAGAGGAAGCTATACTTAAAAACACTATATTGTTCCTTAAGAATGCAAATATATTTATGGAAATAAAAATATTAGAATTTTGCTTTACTTATCCCCAGGGTGCTGATAAAAAAAGATGCATTATAGGTGGACATATTACTTTAATAAAACTTCTAATAAAGCTAATAAAACTATTTGATTTGTCTATTGTTCAACTCTAATGGACAATGAACTCATTTTCCAGGTATCTACCATCTACACAATTGAATTCTTCATTTACTAAACAATCTTTTTCTAAGTAGCTATGGCGATTCTAACATCTCAGAAAGCAATGCCCAGAAAATTTATGGAAGAAAAACCCACTTTTTAGACAATATTTATCTGGTTTTGTGTATTTCAGCTACTGATGGAACTATTAATGGTAGCATTCTTCACAAAGTCAAGATTAAAGACTAAATACTACTTATAGGGAAGAATACTGGGGAATGATCTTTAATCTAACGAGTTCTCACAGTACTGTGTCCAGGCAGCTACCCTGCCCTCTCTTAAGTGCAAAGGTAGGCCTGTCTCTATAAAGTTATGGATTTCTCTATCAACCTGAACATTTAAAGTAAGTTTCCTTTTATGAATTCTCGCTCATTATCTGTATATCAGCATTAAGAGGAATTTCCTTAACAGGATGAAGTCAATTTTATGTCTATGCTGAAATGTAGACAAATCAAGAAATATCTTTAAATATCCATAGTTTTAAAAATATGAATGTGAATTATACAGTAAGGTTCTTCCTCAGATAATTCAAATATAAATTAAATCTGTCAAAAAAAACTGAAGTGAATAAAACATCCCAAAATTCTTCAGGTTTCTACTGTTATATGACACCATTAAGTGCACAAAAAGGAGTGTGTGTGTGTGTGTATTTTATTCATATATAAAATAAATAAATACAAAAAGTCCAAAACATTTAATTAAATAAAAAATTCAAACAAGACCCAAGTAAGTTCTTAAAAAATTATGAATAATAAACTCATACAATATTACAGCTGAATAAATGATAATTACATGCAGGCTTTCTGGATCTCAAAACTTAGCCGTTAACTTTTGCGTAATAATAAGAACCCCACAAGGTTTAATTATGTCAGGTCTTACACCTTTCCTAATTGAATGACCCAATAAATTTTCTATCACATCTCTCCACTGCTCCTCATTTTATTCTCAATCTGTACAACTGGATGTTCTATTGTGAGTAACGATGAAATCCGTACCATGAAATTTAAGTTGCAGAAAAATCAGAATGCAAATCTTGGATATTTGACTCATATAGAGATTGCAAGGAATGGATGATTAAGAAAAAAGGCATGTTCGTCCTTTATCTGATAAGGGAGTTGACTGTAATGCCAATGGAAATTCCATATTAAGCAATACTTAATACTTAAGTCCATTTCAAAATGTCTTACAAAAATATACCAATTAACAATGAAGACAAAATAACTTGATTTGATATTAAGAACATGATAAACAATTATATTATTAAGCTAATCAACACACAACTTTACCACAATTTATAAACTCAGGAGGCCAACAGAACTTCATAAATTCTCCAAATGAACTAATATACAATTTAAAAATAAAATTGCCAGATATATCAGATTATTCTGAATTTTAGAAAATTTTTCTAAGATTACTCATAATAGTTTTTTGAGACCTTAAATAGGCAGGACAAATACAACTGCCTAAGTTTTAAAAGATGTATTATAGGTGGCATTCATAATTACATTTGGAAAATTAATATTCAAAGTTACACAGATACCACTTAAAAATTTATAGGAACATCTGACAGCTAGTACCCACTCTATTAGGTAGAGTGGGAACACTTTCTTAATATTTTTACATGTCATATTTTAGGAAAAGGGTGGTCCACATTTAATTGAAAGAACCTCGTAAAGTTAAACACCTGCATTTCCTCTCATATATTATATATTCCAATGGCCATCATGATAGAATTTCCTATATTAAATGGTTGTTAAATTTTCTAGTATCTAATTGTTAAGTAAATGGTTATCTAATTTATTCCAGACACCTATATCTAAATATATGGCTCCAGTTGAGCATCAACCTATGAACCAGGAGGTCACTGTTCAATTTCTGGTCAGAGCATATGCCCAGGTTGTGGGTTCAATCCCCAATATGGGGCACGCAGGAGGCAGCTGACCAGTGATTCTCTCTCATCATTGATGTTTCTATCTCTCTCTCCTCCCTTTCTCTCTGAAATCAATAAAAATACATTAAATAAAAAATGTTTTTATTGATTTTAGAGAGAGAAAAAGGGAAAGGGAGGGAGGAAGGGAAGGAGGGGAGGAGGGAAGAAAGGAGGGAGGGAGGGAGGGAGGGAGGAAAGGCACTTAGAAGTATGCTTGGCACCCTTTATGTGTTAATCATTATCATCATGGTCAATACAATAATAATCTAAAAAAATCCTGTGAAAAGTATCTCCATGTACAAATGCAGAATTCCATATAGATGGGGAGTCTACTTGTTCAGTATTACTTGGTAGACCACTACTTTAGTGATGATTTTATTTGGAATTTTAATACCTCACTGAGATACACTAGAGATTAGTCTCAATCAATTTTTATTTCTTGAAATAAAATAAGGAATTTAGACTTATACAGAGGATAAATGGACATTATGGCATAAGAACCAAGTGTAAAGTGTGACCCTTACTATGTTATAGATCTGAACAAATCAAATCCAGAAACACACTTTTTTAGATAATTAGTATTTCTTAGATCAGTATCTTTCAACTTTCAAGGACCTACAAACCACCTAGGGATCTTGTTAAAATGTAGATTCTGGCCCAGCCGGTGCTGCTCAGTAGTTGAGCATAGATCCATGAACCAGGATCCCTGGCCAGTGTGGCTAAGTTGGTTGGAGCGCCATCTGTGCACCAAAGCAGGTGGAATCAATTTCCGGTCGGGGCACATGTGGGAGGCTGCGATAGATGTTTCTCTCACACATGGACGTTTTTCTCTTTTCTCTCTCTCTCTCCCTTCCTCTCTCTGAAATCAATAAAATACCTTTTTTTATAAAAGCAGATTCTGAGTTAGTAAGTTTGGGGTGGAGCCTGAGGTTTCTAATAAGCCCCAAGGTGATGACCACACTGCTGGTGCATGGAGCACACTCGGAGTAACAAGATGTTAGATAATATGGGGCAGTTACTGTCAATTATATGGTGCATGATAAAGACATTGTGGTTCTGCAAGATGTCAGAACTTTTCAGAGATGCTCCAGGATTTACACAGAGATGAAATGACAAGATGCCTGGGACTCACTAGAGCAAGTGATAGAGATGAAGGTTGGCCACAAAATCTTAACTAGTGAATCTGAGTAATGGGCATTTGGATATTCCCTGTACTGTTCTATTACTGTGTATATTTGAAAGCTTTCATAAGAAAAAGTAATTTTATAAAAACTTAGAAAAAATTTCCATCGTGAGCTTGAAGAAAATAATTATATTCAAGACTTTTCCTAGTCCTGTATAGATCAAAGAAAGAATAAACTTCAGGAAGCCCTTCAAAATAACAAAACAGCTAATTATTTTTTCAAACTTCATTTTCTATCTTTTTAAAAATATATTTTTATTGATTTTAGAGAGGAAGGAAGAGGGAGAGTTAGAAGCATCAATGATGAGAGAGAATCACTGATCGGCTGCCTCTCACACCCCCCCAACCCCCACTGGGGATCGAGCCCGCAATCCGGGAATGTGCCCTTGACCAGAATTGAACCTAGGACCCTTCAGTCCGCAGGCCAATGCTCTATCCATTGAGCCAAACTGGCTAGGGCTTCATTTTCTATCTTAAGGCTTTAAAATATTACTATTCAAGCCATACATGTTTAATTTCTTCCATCAAATCTGCTGCTTAGGTCTACCTGGTTCAACCAGAAGATTTGCTCATGTTTCTTGGAAGTTAATACTTACCTGTGATGGCTCTGAAGTGGTTTCATTTGTGACTCCAGTGACACTTACAGGGGAGACTTCAACTGTGACATCATCTAGGCCTGGGATAGATGACAACTGAGAAAAGAAAATTCATGTTGGTATATGAGGATAATAATAGGTGCTTAAATATTGTAAATCTCTAGGTGTGTGTTTTAAATAGCTATTATGTTTTTAAGCCTAGAGAAACAAGTTTATAAAAATCTCATTTTTGGTGTTTGAAATTTGCCACGCCACAAACTACTTAAAATGGGAAAGGCAATCACAAATAAAATATTTTTGAACAATTTCTTATAAATCTAACTTAGATTATAAACTTTCTTTTCCCAGGAATTACTTTGAAAATATAAGAAATCCCAGTGTAAGTAATGAGAGCATGGGCTTTGGAGTCAAAGTGCCTGCTTTTAGGTCACAAGCACGTGACCTTGTATAAATCTTCGTAGGCCTCAATTTTCTCACCTGTAGAGTGGGGATAAAAAAAAAATTTACCTCACAAAATTGTTAAAAGATTATTACTAAACATACTTTGTAAAAACAAAGTGCTGTGTAGCACTTTTTTAAAAAAAATCCTCATCTGAGGATATTTTTTCAATTGATTTCATTGATTTTTAGAGAGAGTGGAAGGGAGGAAGAGGGAGTGGGAGAAGGAGAGGGAGAGAAACATCAATGTGAGAGACACATCAACTGATTGCTTCCCACACTTGCCCAGATGGGAGCTAGGGATCAAACCTGCAACCCAGGTATCTGCCCTTGACCCGGAATAGAACCGGAGACAGGTATGTAGGCTGACGCTCCAACCAGTTAGGCACACGGCCAGGGCTTTGTAGCACATTTTAAGTATCTTTTATTTCAGAAGTGACAAAACTCTTTTTCTAAAGATATTTATTATAATTTTTTAAAAACTTCCAAGACATATTGTTGTTGTTTTTTAATATACTGATTTTAGAGAGAGGAAGAGAGAGAGAATATTGATTTGTTGTTCCATCTATTTGTGCATCCATTGGTTGATTCTCCCATGTGCCCTGACTAGGAATCTAAACAACTGAGCTACTTGGCCAGGGCTGACAAAACTCGTCATCACATTTTAATGTCTGACACAGCTCACTCTTTTCTTCTTTCTTTAAACATTTACCACTGAATGCTACTAAAATGTGTTTATTTTTCATGCACAAAAGATGGGTGTGCTGTCAGTGGTTGAGCATTTCAGGTTGGAGTTGCACAATCCATGCAAAACCTCTTTTCCAATTTCACCTTCATATCAATGATATACATTTGTCAGATGTTTGGCTAGTTTCGGAGATTAACTCTATGACTATTGAAATAATTAAGGTTAACTTGTCCACATAGTAACTTAATTTATGACCTTGGACTCTAACTCAAGAATTCCCCAAACATCAAAACAAGACACATAACTATAATAAAGAATAATGAAAAAAAAACACCAATATTAATAAGACCTGAAGCAGTGGTGTTTATTGAGAACTGTTGACTGATGACAGGACTTAGCACATTGGCTATGGCCCAAATAGTTTCAAGTGGGGATGGCTGCTATAATTTTTTGCACATATTCAAGGCCTGGTATCCTAAATTTTCCAAGCTAAAGAAATGTTCTGAGAGAAATATAGTGGCTGAAGTCTATCAGAAGATATAGAAAGTATAAACTAGACATCCTAATCCTTATGCTAAAAATATTAGTCATTTTACTTCCTAATAAATATGTAATATTTTTTTCAGATTTTTTTTGGTAAAATGACAAAGTCACAAAATATACTAGTGTTTCCCTTACTTTATAAACAGAAACACCGCACAAAATCTGCAAGGTTTCAAATCAAAACACCCATTTTTGCTAGTTATCTTTTGTAATTTCTGACATCAAAATGTGTATTCTCCAATATGTATTTAATATATTTGTAAATAGAAAATAGTTGATATTTTCTCCAAATTTTGCTCTGGAGACATCTCAAGTTTTATATAATTTTTACTGTGTTACCAAATGATTACTAGTAAGAAAACTGAAAATTTTCCATCAAATGAAGCAAATTATGTAATAGCTCAATTTGTTAACATGTTACTCACACTTTTGACTAGAATGAAAGAAATCTCAACCCATATGTACATTTATTTATTTTTAATATTTTTATTGATTTCAGAGAGGAAAGGAAAGGGAGAGATAAAAACATCAATGATGAGAGAGAATCATTGATTGGCTGCCTCCTGCAGGCCCCACACTGGGGATGGAGCCCATAATCCGAGCATGTGCCCTTGACCGGAATCGAACGTGGGACCCTTCAATCCACAGGCCAATGCTCTATCCATTGAACCAAACCAGCTAGGGTCATGTGTACATTTAAATAGACTCAGGCTCATAATAAATTTCTTTTCCTTTTTAAATTATAATGAATTAAAAAAAACAAAGAACACACCTCAGGATGCAGGAGCTGTTTAATTAGTTATTAAGTGCAATTGAAGTACAACTGAGAAAGTTGGTAAGTGTACAGCAAAGTTTTTCCCATAAATTATTCAGAAATACAAACCTTTGCATCTAAAATATTGAGAGTTGTTTCAATTTGCTGGATACGAAGAGAAAGGTCTGCCAGCTTCTGGAAAAGATTAGAAACAAAAGAAGGAAGTCTGATTAAAATAAACATATGGTTAACAAAGGGCAGATTGGAAAATAATAAAAACTATGGTTTAAGTATGTAATTTTCTAATATACTACTCTCTCATTTACATGAGTAGGAATAGGAACTAAAGTATCCTATTATTTTCATTAGCATGCTTCACAATTATTTTATAAAACTGTTTCACAGATAAGAAGCTACATTTACAGCCTTATCAAACTCATTATCAGAGCTACAATCAATACTGGGATCAGAATGTAAACTCCTCCCAGGACAGAGTTTCTGTTCACTGCTTTTCCCCAGTGCCCAGGATAGTACTTGATACTTAATAGGAGCCTAGTAATTATTTGTTGATGAATGAAGAAATTCTTCACAGAAAATAGTAATAAAAAATTAACACGAGACAACCTGGAACAGTATCTGCCTTTATAAATTACTTTAACACGTAAGTATATACAATTAGTCCTAAATTCAAACTTCTCAAGTTTGAAAAGTAAAAGGAGATGAAATTGAAAGGTGAGCAGTTCATGTTGAAAAGAATTAAAAAACAAACAAAAACACACACCACACACCAGAGTTCTAAAAAGCAAAAGGAATCAATCTACCATCAAAATCCCAAATAAACTAGAACCATAGGCTTACTGTGTTCTAGTTACTCTGCACAATTAAATTATCTATATCTATCTATCTATCTACCTACCTATCATCTATCACCACACAAAAGTAACATCATAAATTATGAACCATAAGAACATTTATTTAAAGTGCCCTAATCCTAAACATTATTATATTTAGTGACAGTGTAAGAGCAGTTTGCCAGTTTTCTAGTTGGCCAATACACAGCAATTTGACTGCTTTCTAGGATATCTCATAAGCAGATTTGGTCATTTTGCCCATATTTAGAAAGAGAGAAAAAATGAAAGCCACCACAGAGTAGGTAGTGCTTTTTCACTTATTTTTAAGATGAGCATCTTGATATTTTTAAAGATATAATTCACAAATAAAACATCAAAATCTAGTTTTAATGGCATTCAAAGCTAACTTTAACTTTGATTTCTAGGATTTGTTCACAGAAGGCTTTTATATAAAGGTAACACAGGTTTATAAAATACCATATATATGAATTCCTCCCAAAATTATAAGTGTTTTCCCAAAAATCATGAAAATTACATATTGGTCAATTTAATCAATCTTTTCATTCACCACAGAAGCTTAGCAATTGCAGATATCCTACAGTAAATTAATGTGTAAACTGAATGATAATTTCTGACTTTTACGTATCATTTGAAATTTCACACCAAATGTATGAAGTAGGAATTATCATTATGACAATTTTCAGCTAAGAATAAATAGTAAGTCTTCAAACAAGTAAAATAATCTGAGCTCAAATACTGCAATTCCAGGTACTTTTTTTTCCCCAAGGTACTGTTTTGAAAGAATTTTACATTGTTTTGAAAGAGTTTTACACTGTTAAAACACGATGCCAGCCCAGTGGCTCAGTGGTTGAGTATCAACCTACGAACCAGGAGATCACAGTTCAATAACTGGTCAGGGCACATGATAGGGCTGTGGGCTCAATAACCTGTAGTGTGTGAGCAGGAGTCAGCCGATCAATGATTCTCTCTAATCATTGATGTTCCTATTTCTCTCTCCTTTCCCTTCTTCTCTGAAATCAATAAAAATATATTTTAAAAATACACACACAAATAAAACATGATGCCATAGGTGATTATGTGTCAATGTAAATTATAACAAATTGGTTTTAACAAATCCCTCCCGCTGGTGGAGGATGCTGATTAGCAGGAAAGATTGTGTGTGGAGGTGAGGGATTAGCAAGTATATGGAAACTCAGTGCTTTCTGCTCAGTGTTTCTGTGAAGCTAAAACTGCTTTAAAAAAATAAAGCTTATTAATTCAAAAAGATGGAAATTACCGAGTATTTCCTAGATAAGATTTTTCTTATTCAAAGCTAATAAATAAATTCTTTTCTTACTAAGACAAAGGATGCTACTGTTCTATAAACACTGGGGATCAAATTTTTCTGATCAAATTTCCTAAGACAGATGCTGTTTATTTGAAATTATTTAAAAATTGGTATTAAGTTCTTTTCAAGGTTAGATCATAATACTAAATTGTCCTTCAATTAATACTCAATGATTCATATTTAAAAATCGATATTAAATTTTTTCAGGTTTAGATCATAAAACTAAATTGTCCTTCAATGAGTAGTCAGTCAATGATTCATACCAGAGAGGCTAAGGATTAAAATACAAGTCTTAGTAAAGAGGAAATGAGAATAAAAACATTTATTTTGAAAATTACTTGTTGATACAGAAGATTAAAGAGGCTTGGACAAAAATGTTATACAGTCGGCCCTCCATACCTACAGGGCCTGCATCCTTGGATTCAAACAAACAGAACAAAAATATTAAGGAGAAAGTTATGCATTGCTAACATTTACTAAGTAGATGGACTACAATGGTTGTGTCTGCACTAAATATGTACTTTTTTTTTTTCTTGTCATTATTCCCTAAATAACAGAGCACAACAATTATTTACATAGTATTTACATTGTATTAGGTATTTTAAGTAATCTAGAAATGACTTGAAGTGTATAGGAGGATGTGTGCAGATTATATGCAAATACAACACCATCTATATATATAAAAGCCTAAGCAACAGAATGACTGAACAACCGGTCACTATGACATGCACTGACCACCAGGGGCAGATGCTCAATGCAGGAAGTGACCCCCACTGGTCAGTGCACTCCCACAGCCAACCTCCCACCGTCCCGTCCCCCGGGCAGCCAACCTACTGCGGCCCCAATCAGCCCAATTGCAGGCCAGGCTCGAGTGATCCCACCCGTGCATGAATTGGTACAGTGGGCCTCCAGTTTTACATAAAGGACTTGTGCATCCCGAGATATTAGTGTCTCTGCAGGTCCTAAAACCAATCTCCCGTGAATACTGAGGGATGACTTTACTTTCTAGAGCAATAATTCTCATTTATTTTAGATGCAGATTCATGTGGTATATTAACCTTTGGCTTTAGCACTCATTTTACCTACTCTCATCTACTTTATCAAAACCTCACCAAACCCTACCTGTTTTGGCTCAGTGGATAGAGCATTGGCCTGCAGACTGAAGGGTCCCAGGTTCGATTCTGGTCAAGGGCATATGCCAGGGTTATGGACTCAATCCCCAGTAGGGGGCGTGCAGGAGGCAGTCGATCAATGATTCTCATCATTGATTCTATCTCTCCCTCCCTCTCCCTTTCTCTCTGAAATCAATAAAAATATATATTAAAATAAAAAAACCTCACCAAAATAAAATGACATTTTTTAAAAAAACAATACAAGATCATAGGAATGATTTATTCATGCAAGACATGAAGGACACTGACCTAAACATCAATATATTCTTATCTAAACAACCTTGATATCTAATCTAGTAACAACCACAATTGTGAAATACAGTAGTCCTCCTTTCTCTGTGGTTTTAGTTACCCAGGTCAACCATAGTCCAAAAATATTAAATGGTAAATTCCAGAAACGATTCATAAGTTTTAAATTGCATACCATTCTAAATAGCATGATAGAATCTTGATTTATCACCCACCTATTTCTAAGGTAGTGCATTTTATTAAAGTGCAAAAGAAGATGAGAAGAAAAAATACAGAGTGAATAGTTAAACATGGAAACAAAAATAAAATCCTGTAGATTTTTTCAGATTTGTAAAATACCTAATCCGCTAAAAGAAAAACAGTATTTTAAAATAATGGATCTCTTGGTATATCACACTGGACTGCACATGTCCTAGAAGTCAGAAAAAAGAGCAATTGCTCATTTTACTAAGCTTCATCTGACACATAAGCTCAGAAGTTGTAAAAGTTGTAAAAGCAGTTGTAAACATGTAGCATTACATAGGGTTTTAAGCAAATCATTATTTGGTTGCAGATTAAGTCCAATGGTGGACTTAAAATTGGATGTAGAAGATAAGCACTACAGCCCTAGCCAGTGGCCCAGTGGACAGAGCGTTGGCCTTTGGACTGAAAGGTCCCGGGTGAGATTCCAGTCAAGGGCACATACCTCGGTTGCAGGCTCCTCCCTGGTCTGAGCCCCCCTGGTTGGGGTTTATGCAGGAAGCAACCAATAAATGTGTTTCTCTCACTTCGATATTTCTGTCTTTCCCTTTATCTCCCATTCTCTCTAAAAATCAATGGAAAAATATACTTGGGTGAGGATTAAAAAAAATACAAAGATAAGCACTATAAAGTTTTTTAGATTACGTGAGAATTCTAAGCACTTCTGCCTATACTTAAGATTTTTTTAAAAAAGCATTTTAGAATATTTAAAAATGATTAAAACCTCAGTGTTCTAAGCATGTTACAAGTCTGTGTCAAAATAACACATCTGACTGTTCTGTTTATAGGGTACCTTTGACTTTAAAATTCACTATAAAAGGTTAAATTTCTGCTGAGTTTTATTTGCAATATGCACAGAACTTGCATTGTGCGCCCCCCCCCTCCCCCCCGCCACATTTAAATTTGAAGTCTCAGTAAGATTTTGCTGATTAGGGCCAGAATAGAAATGCTTACTGGGGATCTGTGAAGGAAGAAGAGATGACCCTAAGTAACTCTGTAACTTTGATTCAACTACTTTCCTTTCTCCATCTTCTAACTTCTCTCCCACCCTGGTTCTAATCATTACAGTTACAAAGTGGCCTGATATCCAGAAAGCTTTTTAAAAAATCTAGTTCTTCACTTTTTCCTTTATTAAAGAACTCCTAAAACTAGTATTAGTGATGAAGAGAGCCCCAACAATTTCTTTGAAATTTAATTCCAGGTTGAGTTTAGCAGTGAATGAAGTTGTTACAGTTTAGTTCAAACCGGATTATGTGAAAAACAAAAACAACAAAAATAATAGGTTCTCCCCTCTCCCTCAGTTCACTTCCAGTTAAAATAACACCCGAGGTTCACATTTTTGTAAAGGGAAACACAGTCATTTGGTTCCTGTTTGAGACTTTAACTAAACAAGGATTAGTAGGTGCTGTTAACAATTTACAATATAATTTGAAAAACCACATCAATCTTAAAAAGTGGGAGAGAAAATGGCACTTTATGTTTAAATACATATATTACATCTATTAAAAAGACATTACATCAAATGGACATGGCATAGCAAAAAAAGAGAATACAAATCTAAACAGTTATAAGTGTTGGCTGGTGCACTGAAGGGTCACAGGTTTGATTTGAGGCACGTGTGGTAGGCAAATAATCGATGTGTCTCTCTCACATCAATGTTTCTCTCTCTCTCTCTCTCTCTCTCTCAGAAAAAAAAATCAATGGAAAAAATACCCTCAGGTGAGGATTACCTAAATAAATAAATAAATAAATTTTGAAACAGCTATAAAGAGGACACCACAGTCTCACTTGAAAGTGATGTAAACGTACCTCTTATTCATTACAGAAGGTGCAATATAACAGAACAGTGAGACATTTTTGCATTTTTCAGTTACTGGATCAGAGTCGGAATCCCAGCTCTGCTACTTTCTAGCTGTATGCGGGCAAATTAGAGCAGCGACTGCAGCTATAAATACCATGCACTCAAATATATGTTGAGTGAGTGAATGGATGACTAAGCAAATGGTTTAAACTTCTCTACATC